TTCATCTCTCTCACTCCGCAGGAGCTGAGCAAGGAGCAGGAAGATGTTTGATAACACGCAGTACCCCTATAACTGTTTTAATTATGACGGGGACGACTATCCAACCTGTAGTTCTGATGAAGAGAAAAAATTCACCAGACCAGCATACAGGTAAGGTGAAGTTTTCAAAGTCTTCCTCTCTCTTGGGTGAGGGTCTGGACTGTTGGGTAATGGGAATTCACCCAAGGATCTCTCTAATAACTACCATGGGCGTCTTTCCAGGTGTAAGCAAGTTTATTCCAGGTGCAGGGAACAGTGTGGAAAAGTCCTTTTCCCTTTGGTTTGGAGAGAATGTAACTTCCAGCTTTCAAGACCTGAATCCCTTTGTATCGTCCGATGTCAACTGTTCTCTTCTGCACTTTTCAGGGCACTGAGAAATATAACGTAAAAACGTCTCATTTGGGAAACAGGGGAGGGGGCAAAAATCAGTAGTGGAGCACAGATGCCCCGTATAGGTTTCCCAGACAGAAAAGATACTATTATCCAGTGTGTCTTCAGCTGGTGGCAAGCTGGCGAGATCCCCTGTGTTAAGAGGAGGGCAGAGATGGAGGGTTTGAATATTGATCCTCAGGAAAGTTTCCTTCCACAGCTTGAAATTTTGGTGGGTTTCTCTCCCTCGATCTCTTTAAAATGAAGCACTTTCTGCTGAGTGAAAGGGCAAACAGTTTGACTGGGCTTCAGTTGTCTGTAAGTAATGCCAGTGTATCATCCTGTATGAATCAATGAATGTTAGAGCTTTCTCTTGGACGAAAGCAAAAGGAGTCTGCGAGGACCCAGTACTGCCTGTACATGAAGCATTTCAGGTTCAAGGAGTGGCATAAATAACAATGTAGGATCAGGAGAACTTCTTTGAGTGGGGTCTTATATACATATGTGTGTGTATATGTTGTGGTGTGGACATACCTAGCTATAGACTATAGCTATACAAGGCAATGGCATAACAGTGAGTTTTCTTTTTTCAGCTACATTGCCTTAATTGCAATGGCCATTCAGCAAAGCCCTTCAAACAAAGTGACTCTCTCTGGCATTTATGACTTTATAATGAAGAAATTTCCTTACTACAGATCAAATCAAAGAGCCTGGCAGAACTCCATCCGACATAACTTATCGCTTAACAGTTGTTTTGTAAAGGTAAGATCAGTCACTATGTATTTGCATCCACGCGCCGCATGAGTAAAAATCTCTCTGTCAAAATAGTTTCACTAAACATTGATAGAAAAGCAGGGAAGCCAAACATTGTGAGCTACAAGCCACTTAAAATCTCTTGTGATGCCTCCAAGTTGTCATTTGAAAAGGTAAAAAAAGCATGTTCTTGTCTCATGTATGTTAATATATAACAAAGTGAAGAGGCTGGATTTTACCTACAAGAGGCTGGAATGGCTTGTCATGTATGTTTAACCCATTCTTAAATGTAAATGAACACAGATGTTAAGCAGCAGCATCTGTAACGCATACAAACACTGAACTGCCTTTAAATGAATACAGGTTCCCAGAACAGAAGGGAATGAGAAGGGGAAGGGAAACTATTGGAGCTTTGCATCAGGATGTGAATCCATGCTGGATCTTTTTGAAAATGGGAATTACAGGCGAAGACGGAGGAGGAGGAACATGAAACGAGACCACAGAGAGCAGAGATCTAGCGGAGGAAAAGGTCCCTCTTCCCCTGAAATGCCTTCCATGGATTCTGGTTTACACTGCATCTCCTCTCATGAAAGTAAATGTGAGAAAACGCAATCTGGACCCCGACTCTTGGAACCTCATGGGTTTGTTGCAAACAATGCCTCCAACCAACAGAGCCTAAGCAGCTCCAACCTAGGAAAATCGGACTCTGAAATTAAATTTAGCATTGATTATATTCTCTCAGCCCCAGATCCTTTGCCTGGTCTGAGATCTCAGTATAATATGCAAGATAATAAATATCACCTCCTGGAGTCCCAGCAAATTAATCTTCAGCTCTGGACAATGTGATGTGATTTCTAGCTGGCAACAGATTCTTTAATGCAATCTATACAAAAGCCTTGTGTCATCGAGTAACATCAGTCTGCCTTCTTTCTTCAAGTAGTGCTCAGAAAGGGTGATAAGTAACTTGACCAGCCTGCTGAGATATCTGTCCCACAAGGACTTGCTTTTCTGCAGTTAAACTCTAATACCTAACCAATAGCATTGTATATTATCTTGTGACGCTGCGTGAAATTCTGGTCTTATTTTCTAAAATAATGCCAATGGCAATTTAAACTGCAAGGATTTTCTCTTCTTGATCACACCAATCTATTTTTTGTTTGCTTCTGTCATATGTGCTTTACTAAAGACACATTGGACTTACCGTCTGTTATAAGTTAGGATTAACTCCACTATATATATACCATATATATAGGCCAAATCTGCAGCAGGTATAGAGTAGTGAACACCTCTACTGCTTTACATTAGCTGATCATCTGGTGGGTTTTTTCCCCTTAGGAACTCATTTAAGCCCTACCTTGTTTACTATATTCAGTGTTAGGGCTTAGACTATTTGAGCAATAAGTAGCACAAATCAGTCATTAAAGTATTTGGTAAGTATGGGTTTTTAATTGTATTATTATAGATTTTTTTTCTTGAAGTGAAGTGCTGTTCAAATTAATTCCATGGAAGTTAATGCTGAACTCTGGTAAACTTTGACAGGTTCAAACTTTGAGAGAGACTGTGACAGACTTCCAGTATCTATGAATAAAACAATATTCCTGTTGTGCTATCAGAAAGTTCCCTGAGACTCTATAGGATAGCCTTTGCACATATTTCATTTTCTTAGCATGAAGGAAGGATTGGCCCTGCAAAGAATTGTATTCATTGACAAAATGCAAGACAGAGTTGAGTCTCCTACTTTCTTCAAGACAAGCTGTACATTCCTATTAAGTAGATTTTATTGATTCCTCCTGCAAGCAATCACCAAAGTGGTACTTGATACAATTTCAGCAAAGCCGGTGAGATTTATAATTAACAGACATTGATGTTAGATCCTGAGCTCCATTTAAATCTAACATAGTTGCCATCTATGCTGTTGATGGGTATTTTTTTTTAAGTTATGGACAATAAAAAAACATATGTCCAATGCTTAGTAACGTGTTTCTCCTAAAAATATTTTGCACAATTAACTGCTTTCCATGACACAGTGCACACATTAGTACGGATTCTACACAATCAGGCCCTTTACCTAACTAAAACAGTCAAATCAGGGATCAAGAATTCTAGTTGATTTAATAGACAATTGTATAACGTAAGAAAAAAATTCTGTCTTTGGAACATAAACTCTAGGTAAATGAAGGTATTTGAGATGATGAGATTAAGCAAAATTGTGCAAAAGATACACTCAGGCATGACTTGAATTTTTATGCATTTTGACATTTCACTAAGTTATTTTACATTGTTGCTAATATATACTGTACATTTAGACTATATATTCTTATATATTGTTATGGAGAAAGGGAGCAATATCACTGCACTTATATGTTGTAAAACTGCATGATGGATGTCTTCTTGGTGTTAAAAGTATTGCCATGTATCTACAGCCTGCCAACAGCAGTATTTCTTACAGGTGGGTTATAAATTCTCTTTTGTTTTGAAAAATATGAAACTTGAAAGTCCCAGGCATCTCCTGAGCCAGCAGAATATTTTTTTTAAATATGGCAGGTCATGCAGAAGTTATATCATAGTACAGCTTCCAAAGTTTCAAGGATCAATTTCTTTATAGACAGATTCTGCCTTCAGATCGGAGCTTGAAAAGTCTCATCAAGGGGTATTCTATGAAATCATTTCAAGGCAGAATTAGGCTCATTAAACCAGACTCATCCCTTGTACGCAGATGTAAAAAGACCCATAAAGTCAGTGGACACATAGATTCATATCACCGCTCCATAATCTTCCTACACAGTAGTATATAGGTGGGCAAGGGCATGTCTGTATCTAGTATCTCTATATATGTATGCACTCCGCTGTGTGGCTGTATGTGATCTCTATATTTATACATACATTAATGTATTAATGTGTTATATGCAAACCATTTTTCTTAATAGGTTTAAAAGGGGCGATGCTGCTGCTTAGTTTGTAGTCATAGTAAATCAGCACAGTATATTTTAAATATATTTTTTTGCAGCTAAATGTGCAAATGTGCTTCTTACTACATGTTCCTTGTTGAAATTTTTCTGCAAAGGATAACTAAATTACAGCCAAAGTTCAAAGGAAGAGCCTTGACTCAATACAATAGTATTGATTTCAGTGGGGTAAGTTCAGGTCTACCACATAATATTTGGGCAAATGTTAGAAAGAGCAGAAGACAGAAATATGTGTAAAAAAAAAAATCTGTATCAGAAACTGAAAGCCATCTAGAGTAGCAGGATTAATATGCACAGATACCCCTTTCCTTTGCTCACCATAAGATGCCTGCTAAGAAAGGCTGTTATATCTGAGTCTCCTAACATATAATCAAAGAAATTTGTGTACAAATATGTGTTAACATTTGTTTTGCAAAGGATATCAATCATATTTCCAAAAATGAAGGGACAGATTTCAATTTACCCAGCGTATTATATTCTGACTACTTCAGAAAGGTTTCCAGCACTTAAAGTGAATGGCATTTAATATAGAACAACATAACAGGGGTGAAGGCTAGATGTGACCTTATTCAAATGTCGTAGCCATTACAAAGCCATTCCCAGTGTAATTATAATTAAATACTTTATGCCTTTCTTGCAAATCCTCTGATCGATCACTGATAGTAACATTAATATTGTATTACCCCCGAGCAAATGTCTCCCACACAAGTGTTATGGATCACCAGGTTTCCATTAACAAAGTTGTGAGCTATTGCCATATGCTAGTCGTGGATAAATTTACGTAAATTACCTTTTCATGGGGGAAAAAAATCTGAGGGTTTTTTTCCAGAGCATACAGTCTGGTGCTTTTCCTTCATCCCTTTTATAGGCTGTCAGTTAGTTATGTATGCACAAGCAAAATGCTACTCTCCAACAGAGAGCTCCCACTGAAACCAATGGATATAGGCTAGGGTCAGAACAAAACCGGGTACACAGGGGCAAAGTCTGCACTAAAGACATTCTTAGGCACAGTCTATAAAATAGGTCAGGATCCCGTCCATAACAACAAGCTCTGTTCATTGTTGTGATGTTCATACTCACATGGAGCACAGTACTGTGATATAGGCTGAGTTCAGCGAGACAAGTAGGGATATAGCCACTTGGATCCAAAAAGTGTTCCTTGCTTATAGGTATTTTGCTGTCTATTCAGAATCCATGCTTGCCATTGTATTTCCTATGCTAGATATAGCCAGTTGGACAAAGCCCCTAAAGAGCATTTCCCTGCACCACCAGGTGAGAGGAGAGAGGGCTCGGTTTCTTCCCCGGCAAGTCAATAGCATTCCACAGGCCAGCGAAGAACCACTGGGACTGTGGGAAGAGAATGCATTTTTTGTACTTCAAAAAAAATACATTTTGCAAAGAAAAAGATGATGAAAGGTTCCTTCATGGGGAGCTGATGGAACCAGCAGACCCAAGGTTCAGTCTCCTTTAGGGAGCCCTATATTTGGGGAAAAAAGAAGTTTCTCATGGAAAACGACAAGGTTGATGGAGCTGTGCCAATTGACATCAACAGAGATTTGGCCTAGAAAGATTTAGTTTCCTAGGCTGTGTCTTTACAAAGATGTCTTTTTTCACAGTAAAATAATGAGCACACAACTCCTACATGGAAACAACGCACTTGTTGATTTTACTACCTGAGAACAAGGTGACTTTGACCCTATGTCCCCTCTCCCCCAACGCAACATCTGCCTATTAGAGATGTGTGACACTTCAGTAGCTGATTCGATTCGGAGGAGATTTAGCCCAATTTGGGGGCTGAACCTCTGAATACAAATCAAATTGGGAGACCAATTAAAAGCTCCAAATTGATTCGAAGCATCTGAATCAATTCAGGAAAGATTCAACCACTTTGGGGATTCGGCCATAGACTAAACAGGCAGCTGACACAGTTGCCTCCAGCTGGTAAGTCTGTTGGAGTTAGAGGAGGGGAAGAGGGTGGGGGAGGAAGGGAATGAGACTGGGGCTGGGCTGGGACAAGCTGCCCAGCTGAGGCGGGGAGCACGGGATGCAGGTGTGGCAGCACTGGGAGTGGGGACTCTGCTGTGCTGTGACTTGCCCAGCCAGGGCAGGATGCAGACACAGCTTTCTCTAGGCAGAAGGGGGCAAGCGACAGTAGGGCATAGCCTCCGCTCGCATCACTGCCACGCCTGATGCCCCCCCCCATGCCCTCTGTGCCAGCTGGCATGCGGCAACAGCACAGAGCTCCCACTCCTAGCACTGATATGGTCACAGCAGTGCTAGGAGTGGGGGCTATGCCCTGCTGCCAACCGGAGCAAGCCACGCCTGCATTGCACACACCCCCCACCCATGCCAGCTGGGCAAGCAGCACCAGGACATAGCCTCCATGGCTCCCCCAGCTGAGGCAGAGTCAGAGGCAGGCACAGCTGGAGGAGCCCTGGGAGAAGCCCCCATGGCTGCCCTGCCTGGCACCATCCCCCACCCAGCCCAGCCTCCCGGCACTTAAAAAAAAAATAGCCCTGCACTCACCAGCTCTGGCAGCAGTAATCAGGGCCTCTAAGGGCTTGTGGCAGAGCCCCCCCATGCAGCATGGGGCAGTGGGAGGCATCAGGGATCGCCCCCATTCCTGGCACCCACACAGCAGCTTCCCCATGGCGTTGGTGCCGTGCAGCTTGGCAGGGTGCCACACGCTGTCCCCGGCTGTGCTTGCCTCTCCCCGGCCAATCCGAATCTTCCAAAGCCAATTTGGCCAAATCAATTTGGGACAATGATCCAAATCTCCGAATCGAATTGCTGTCCTCCGAATCAGCTGAATCCGAATCAAATACTTCCCTATTTGCAGAGGCCTACTGCCTATGTTTTGTCTCATCTAACTGACTTCACAGTAACTACAGAACTAGGTTTTCACTATAAGTTTTACAGAGCTATGTTTAATGCAAGTCAGATACACTGTGGTAAAAATGCACCTGTATTTGTCAGTGAAGACTGGGTCTTCATCACCTGCTCAAATGAGCAGAAATTTTGCTCCTTGCTCTCTAATAGTCAGAAAATGCCAAACTACTTTGAATTGGTGGATAAGTAACTCTAGTCAAATCCTTCTAACTTCCATAGGTAGGCAGCCTAGACGCCTAATAAAGACCAGGTAAGAAGAGCAGTCAGGAGTTTATTCACACAGTGTATTGGCTCTCTCAGCTCTTTCATTCTTCTCCATGGCATTTTGTTGGGTAGGCTGAGTATTGGCAC